ATAATAAGCATGGAGAGTATCCTAAGTTTTTTTTTTTGTTTGTTTGTTTTTTAATACAGGATCTCACTCTGTTACCCAGGCTAGAGTGCAATGGCAGGATTACCACTCACTGCAGCCTCAACCCCCCAGGCTCAATCGATCCTCCTGCTTCAGCCTCCCCAGTAGCTGGGACTACAGGTGCATGCCCCCACAACCGGCTAATTTTTTTATGTTTTGTAGAGACAGGGGTCACCATATTGCCTAGTCTGGTCTCAAATTCCTGGGCTCAAGTGATCGATCCACCCACCTCAGCCTCCCAACATGGGATTACAGGTGTGAGCCACTGTGCCTGGCCCTAAGATTCTTTCCATCTTGAAATACAACTTTATTAAAAGAAAATGTGGAAATGGTACTGATAATTGAAAAGAAAAGAAAAACCATTCGTAAACCCACCCTGATAGAACTATCACTAATGTTTTGCTGTCTTCCGGTTTAACTCATCATTTTCAGAATATAAGTTTTAAATGACATCATCATACTATCATTAGAAGTTTGTGTACTATGGTTCTTATGGGCTTGGAAATTTCACTGCAAAAACAATTTAATGAGATACATAAAAATTCATCTAATCACTTCCTTATTCTGTACATTTGTAATATCACACTCGACTTTTTTTTTCATGAAAAGCTTTTTCTAAACTCAGAATTGGTAAATGATGTTTGAATGGCCCCCACGCTACCTCTTACCATCCTACCATGACCCTCTTCATTCCCTCAGCCCACCGCTGATGAACCATTTATGGCTCTGGCTTCTCATTTGTTTGAAGTGGCTCCCTTAAGGAGTGACCTCCCGGTGTCTTCAATTATTATTTTAAATGATGCCTCAGGCCACTGCCTGGCACAGCGGTGCCCTCACCTTCCCCTCTTCTGCCTTCCAAGCATAGAGCTCAGCTGCCAAGCTGGCTTTGCCCCCTCCTGTCCTCAGAGCTGCCTCCAGAGTCCCAGCAGAGAGCCAGATTAACCCCTTTTGTTAGAAGATGTAATTTTCCTGGGCTCAGCATTAATAAGGAATGCTGTAAGCAGTCTGGTCAAGATGAACAGATCTGTCAAGCCCCAGGGTTAATTTAATAGCAATTTGTAGGCTGTCGGGGTTGTATATTAGCCATGAATACGATGCTCTGTTTTGCTTTTGCCATCTAGTTATTTGGGACAACAGGGAAATAATTTGGATAGAGAGCTCTAAAGGATTTAGAAAAAGAAAAAGAAAATTGACTGTCAAAATGCATCATTCCGTTTTCAGGATTATACATGGAGCCACACATTGCTCGTCCTCTTTCTCCTTCCCTCCCAACATGAAGGGCAAAACAACATATGCTGAAAACATGGGTTGCCCTTTAGAGCAGTGCAGGGGAAAAGGCCCAGGTTTCTAGAGGATGCAGATGTCAAATATCCTCTCCATCATCCCCATAAGCCATTTAACTTTTAGCAGCTAGGCTTCTCTCAAATGTTTCTAGAACTCACCAAATCCTCCAGCAGGTAAAAATCCAAACAATCCCTTGTCAGTCTTTTGTCCCAAATTCTGCCTCAAAAAAAAAAAAAAAAGTATCATATCATAGCACATAAAAATTTCAGTTCTGGAAAATGCAGTCATCAAAGTGGTAGGTAAATTAAGAGAACACAGACTGAAGCCAGAAGAGATGGAGCTGCCCTCTCAGCTTAGCTGGGATTCTTTTCAAGAGAACCAAAATTATCATATGCAGAAAGACCGACTTTGTAAGACCATTTCTCAAGGGAGGCAGAGTGGCATGGTGAGAAAGAACCCAGGCTTCAGAGTCAGATAAGCTTGGGTTCAAATCCCAGCTCTGCCCACTGTACCACGTAACTTCAAGTAATTTATCTGAGTTCCCTCAGCTGTAAAATGGAGTTGTTAATGGTCCTGCCCTTATAAGACTGAGATAGGGGGCAAGGGGATCAATGCATGGAAAGTGCTGGCACAGGGCAGGCCTGCCCTTGATCAGCATTGGCTACTGGCCGTGATTAGCTTCCTCTTAACTTCATCATCCCAGTGATTAAAAAGAGGGGTACTTAGCGGGGCGCGGTGGCTCACGCCTGTAATCCCAGCACTTTGGGAGGCCGAGGCGGGTGGATCACGAGGTCAAGAGATCGAGACCATCCTGGTCAACATGGTGAAACCCCGTCTCTACTAAAAATACAAAAAATTGGCTGGGCATGGTGGTGAGTGCCTGTAATCCCAGCTACTCAGGAGGCTGAGGCAGGAGAATTGCCTGAACCCAGGAGGCAGAGGTTGCGGTGAGCCGAGATCGTGCCATTGCACTCCAGCCTGGGTAACAAGAGTGAAACTCTGTCTCAAAAAAAAAAAGAGGGATAGTTGTGGTTTATCCCTAGAACCCCTTTGAGTCAAACATAAGCAAGCCCTTTAGTCAAAAAGGAGACCTGCAGGGGCAAGGAAGCCAATGGCTTGGGGATGAGGGCTGGGTGGTGGGTAGGCTTGGAAAGTCCAGTGAAGGAAAAAAAAGATCCAGAGATGGCAGCTCTAGGTAGATCTCGTGGGCACGGCCCCACTGGCGTCCTTGATGGCAGAGGATGTTCCTGGTTTCATAGACATGTTTGGGCACTTTGTTTTTGCACATTCTGACTTCGGGGCTTTATTTTTAGGTGGGAAAAAATAACTGTCGCTGTAGCACCTCCCCCTCCCACACAGCAAAGATCCCTTCCAGTTCAGCTTGTTTTTAGAGCTATACTTGTAGACATTGAGAAAGCTGACACCAGATTTTCTTTCTCTATTTTGAGAAAAGAGAAACATGTTGTTCGCTGGCACAGTGGGGTATCAAGGCTCGCTCTGGAGGATGAAGAAATCTGACAGCAGCCGAACACTAACCTCTGTTTACCTAATGCCATGTCATCACAAAGCCCAGGGCATGGGTCTGTGGCTGAGAGGGCACCAGAGCTGCAGCCTGGAGCTTCCTCCTGAGGGGCACAGGCTCTTGCTCCACAGCATGTGGTGCTAACTACAATCATATTTATAACTCTGGCAGAAGTTGAGTTGAAAGGTAGTATTTTGTGATTCCAGGAGACCCACATGCCCTGGAGATCCAAGTAATATTTGCATCTGGGTTTGGTGGGAGAAACTGTAGGAACATGAGCTGTTAGCTCAGTCTTAAGCCAATTTTAGAAAGAACCCAACAGGGTTTATAAGAGATAATGAAGGAGAAAGAGGCACAAACAAATGCAAAGCCTTTGCTGCAACAGACTGCATGTTGGAATGCTGTAGCAGGAGCACAGGTAATGTTTGATCATTCATGATTACTTTGTAGTGCCAGCAGGACTAAAAATTTCAGTGCATTTGTTTATACTGCATCTAAACTCAAAGGACAGGACTATGCTACTAGCTTAATGAAAAGCATACAAGACTTTCATCCACCTCAGTCTAATGGGACAGTTATATCAAGTTATTGCTTGTTGATTAAATACATTGTTGTCCAAAATGTGGTGTACAAACTCCTGGCACATGCATTTGCAATTATTGTATGTTGATTTTATTTATATTATTTAAAATGTAACTACCTCATTAAACCCATGATTTTATGACTGTTGGGTTACTGTTTAGATAAAGCTAAGTAAAGAAAAAGTGAATCAATTTAAAGTTGATCTGAAAGAAAAATGTTAAGTAAAAAGTACTACCTGATGATGCACAGATAGGGCAAAAATCACAAAGGTGGCTCATGAGTGGGAAAAAAAATCTAGTAAAAGTGGGAGGAGTCCTGTTGTAATGAGTTGGGATGTAACAGCATCCACATCACAAGGCTTGTTCTTTGCAGGATGTTGCTGGGTCCTCAGACAGCACCTCAGCCCCTCTGTGTCCTGATTCCCCAACGTCTTGGTAGAGGTGTGAAGAGATCTGTACAAACCCACTCCTTCACTTATGCCAGACATCCTACCGAAGGGGTTGTTTTCATTGAGTCACCTTCATAAATAAAAGGCTAAATGTTTCGTTCCAGTATACAAGAATATGGTCTTTAAAAAATAGAGGTATAATTCTTGATCAGAAAGGGAAATACTGAGAAAAAAAAAAAACAGATGATAAAACTAAGGATATTTTCCATGGGACCCTAAAATACTCCAACTGGATGGCTTCTTTCCGATACTTAAAAACTCCCTCACAAGCTCAAAAGCAGATCACAACTTAAAGAGACTAGAACCCTTATATATCATACATGAGAAAAATTTTGCATAATTATGAAAGAGCACAGACTTTGCACCTGGGATGAAATCCTAGTGTTGTCACTTAGCCATGTGACTTGAGGCAAGTGACTTACTTTATGCACTTGGAGCAACTGTTTCTACCCCTGAAAAAAATGAGGATAAGGAAAATGCTGATTATAGAGTTCTTGTAAGGATTAAATGAGATAAAATACATGATATGCTTTGCAGAGTGAATGTCCTATAGCTATTGCTCAATTATTGGTAGCAGCTTTTATTATCATTATCATCAACATATTATAAAGAAGGGCTTAGGGATTTCATGAAAGAGGATGGCAGTCTATTATAGATATCACTTATCAGCCCCAGAATCCAGGTAAGGAATCAGATAAGATGAATTATTTGGTTATAAGAGAACTAGTGCCTTAATCATGATTATAAAATGAGAAGCAAAATCTTTGCAACTTGGTACATTTTAGCCTGATTGTAGAGCAGTTAACTTGGGTCAGGAGTGGATATCTTTTACATGTTTATAGAGGATAAAACACAAAGGAGGAGTCAGGAGACCTGAGTTCTAATGCCATCTCTGACTACTGGGTAACCCTGGGCTATTAAATATTTCCTGAGCCTCATCTGCCTGTGACAAGTTTATAATGAGGATCCACCATGTGCATAGCAAATTCTGACATATTATACTAATACAAGATGATGCCATTGCTAATTCTCCTTTTCCCCAAGTGCCTGCCTCCTTCTGCTCATTCCCTCCTTCTCCTGGTTCCCTCCTTGACTCGTCTGTGCCAGATATCGTGGACATTAAGCCGGCCAACATGGAGGAGCTCACGGAGGTGATCACAGCAGCTGAGTTCCACCCTCATCATTGCAACACCTTCGTGTACAGCAGCAGCAAAGGGACAATCCGGCTGTGTGACATGCGGGCATCTGCCCTGTGTGACAGGCACACCAAATGTGAGTAGCAGCTGAAGGAAGGGGCGGGGGGCCACTGGCCCCAGTGTGTGGGAGGAGGGCCTGGAAGCTTTTGATCTCGCTTTCTATACCAAACACTCTAGGAGTCAGGAAACTACAAGTGAGAGTCAGCTCCGTATTTTATGTTTCAGTAAAGATGAACATTCATGTTCGGTTCCGAAACATCCAGAGGTGAAAATGAGTAAGACATGACCCTTGTCAGAAAAGGGTTTAAAATAACAGTGTGATGTGATCCAAATCATGTGTTAAGGAAATCAGGCTTGCTGCCGTGGGGAGAATGACTTTGAGGAGTAGCAGGGGTACCAGTTAGGAGACCGTTGAAAGGTGGCCTGGACAAGGAGGTGAGTGGAAATTGAGAGGGCAGATGGGTTCTGGACACATCTTTTTTTTTTTTTTTAAATCCATGTAACCTGCACAGTACTGCACAGATCTTGGCCATAAAGTTAACAGAACTTGCTGAGCTGCGAGGGAGGCTGAGAACATGAAAGGCATCTAGAACAGCAGCTGGGGGAAGGAACTGGTAGCTTCTTGGAGAGATTGCGGCTATAGGAAGAACAACTCTAGACATTCCTATGGTTAGAGTGGGCACCAGAGAAAAGCTTCAGAAAGACAGAATGAAAGCACAGAAGACTCATGGCCCTTGGGTCACACTGGAGTTTTCAGGACACTGAGGGAGCAAAGAAGCTCTTAAGTTAGTGGGAGCTAAGTGCTTGGACGCAGAAGGTTATGACTGCCGGTCCTGATGTGAGCAAGTGAAGCCTGTCAGCACTGACTGCAGGTGCTGTGGTAGAAAAGATGGGCCTGGAACTAGTAGGGGATTTCAAAAGACTGCTCCTTAGAGTAGAGGTGGCTGGAAGGTGGCAGCAGTCACTGCCCAGTGTTGGGCTAACTTATGTGCAGCTGCCAAGATGTTCAGGAGGGCCGTAGCTGTGGACGCCCTGCGGTCGCCTTCTGCTGCAGTTCTGCCACTGCAGTTTGCTGTGGAAAGCCAGAAGCAAAGACCTTTCTCCCACAGTTTTCAGTTTCAGTCCCTGCGTGCTGTCAGGGATGTGCTGGCTGTCTGTGTGGGTATATGACTAAGAGATGGATGGAGAGCTTGTGGTCCTTTTGGTAATTTTTGTTTGCTCATTTGTTGCCAGAGGTTGGCATGGGGGAGCTGGTATGCAGAGCACAGTGGTCATGTACAGAGCATGGATTCTAAAATCACATGCACCCAGATCAGAACCAGGCTGCCCCCTTACTGGCCAACTTTGTCCACCTTCCCTGAATGTGTCTGAGCTTCCATTTTCTCCTGTGTAATGGGTAAGATTGTCCTAACAACCACCTCAGGGGTTCATTACAGGGCTTAGATGGGATAAATATTAAAAATGGTTACTGAGATACTCTACATTCTTTCTTTTCTATACTAAGTCTTCAAACTTTGGCATATATTTTATCATTGCATCATATTTCAATTCAGATTACACATTTCAGGTGCTCAAAAGCTCTGTGTGGCTAGTGGCTTCCATATTAGTGTAGACTTAGGACATTCCATCATTGCAGAAAATTCTACTAGAGAGTACTGATAGCTTCTTGAGAGTGTGGACTGTTCTATCTTTTTCACTGCTGTTTTCCTAGCACCTAAAACAGTGCCTGACCTATGATCGGTGTTAATATTTACTGATGTTTGTGCTAGTGTTGATCTTTGAGCAGTGATCTTAACATAAGATGACAGGGGGAAAAGTGTTCAGAACAGAAGAATCAGCATTTGCAAAGATACTGAGGCATGAAAGATCATGTGTCTACGGAACTGTATTATGATTGATGACCAAATGACTTGGACGAGGAGTTGAGACTCATGAGGAATGCCTGAGCCATGCCATAATGACCATGATTTTTAAAACTTGAGGCCAGACACGGTGGCTCCCGCCTGTAATCCCAGCACTTTGGGAGGCAGAGGCAGATGGATCACGAGGTCAGGAGTTCGAGACCAGCTTGGCCAAGATGGTGAAACCCCATCTCTACTAAAAATACAAGAATTAGCCAGGCGTGGTAGCATGCACCTGTAATCACAGCTACTCAGGAGGCTGAGGCAGAGAGTTGCTTGAACCTGAAAGGTGGAGGTTACAGTTAGCTGAGATAGTGCCACTGCACTCCAGCCTGGGCAACAGAACAAGACTCCATCTCAAAAAATATGAATATATAAAAAAGATAAAAAACTCGACTTTTTTTTCATCAAAGTCAGTAAACGGCCACTAAAGTAACCAGGGGAGTAATATGATCAGAATTAGTTGTTAGGGAAATTGCTAAGACAGAAGGCAGAAGGATGAAGGTTAAGTTCTGGCTGAGAGAACAAAGAGACGAGGAGACGGGTTAGGAAGCCACTATAATACATATAAGCGTTTCTTAACAGGACACCATTGAATCTTGTGCTATAAAATTCTTTGTTTCTGGGAAGGGGCTATCCTGTACATTGTAGGATGTTTACCAGCATCCTTGGCTTTACCCACTAGATGTCAATAACCCAAGCCCAATTATTATAACCAAAAATGTCTGCAGGCATTGCGAAATACCCTCTTGGAAAAATATTGCTCCCAGTTGAGAACCACTGATCTAGACTGCAATTCATTTGGTCATAGATATAGCCTGATATTCTTGTATCTGCAATGTGTTTATTACAACAAAGAGCTCTGGTACAGTGGAAAGGTAAGACTTATCTCCTGTACTCAAGGAATTTAAAATTTGGCTAATGAGACAAGGTGCACCCAGGAAGCATTTCAGGAACAATGTATAAGGCAGTTTAGTTTTAATAGTCAAGTGTATGGTGGAGATAATGAAGGGTTAGTCCATTCAGAGGGAACTGGGACATTTGAAACTGATCTCACAGGGAAGGCAGAGGCTGAGTAGCTGAGTGTTGAAGTACGACAAGTAGAATTTGGTTAGGTGGGAAACAGGAAGAAGAGGATTGTCGGCAGCGAGCACAGAATGGGCAAAATTCTGAAGTTACTGAAGTAACGGAAATTTTGAAGAGGGTTAAAAAGTGTCAGACTCTTTAAAGAGAAAGGAGAACCTTGGGTTAATAAGGTTAAATAGGGATAACGGTTCCTATCAGGTTCGTCCTTGAAGATCAGATTCCAAAATGTATGTTGTCATGTATCCATTCATTCAGTGAGAACTTATTTTATAGGCAGAGTCTGGTTCCCACAGTATCAGGTCCCTCGTAAGCTGTTCCACCAAATACAGTCCTGGTGGGGCCAAGCCATAAGCCCTGCTGCCATGGAAGGAGGGTACAGAGAGGAATCAAGCCCCTCCCGTGTGCTCTGAGTAGCCCAACCTACCAGCAAAGGCAAGACAGTGCAGGCCTGGCAGAGAACGGTGACTGTGGAGGGAGCAGGGAGTTAGGAGTGCTGACCGCACCAATTTTCTTTGAAGCCTGATTTTTCTTTCTAAAATTTCGTGTGAATTTTACATTTTAAACCCATAGAATATCTATTTTCGCTTTAATTTAATAATTACATTTCTACCCCACTCCCAAATTTTAAACAGAATTGATGTTTCTGAAAGATGTAACGTTTATCCTACAGCTTTCTGTACTTTTTAGTATACCCCCATATCCTCCCCTCTTCCTAACCCCCGAGGATACATACAGGTATCCCAGTTTCACAAGCACAGTGTCTAGTATGTGGGAAGTAATTTGAGATCATTTAGCTAGACCGCGGAGTTAATAAAATTTGTGTTTCATGGAAGATTAACACAGTGGTCATGTGAAGAAAGGTAGGAAAGTTAGAAGGTTTCGCTTTAGTCTCAATGCAAGGAAAATTTGGAACCTAGGTAAAGAATGGGGGCTATAGAGATCCAAAGGAAGAGAAGAGGGAAAAGGAACATTTTCTTTTAAAATAACTGTGGGTGTGGTGACATTAAAGGTTAGCATTCATCACACATGGATGTAATATGCATTGTTCAGTGCCATTCCCATCTGGGTACCAAACTCTTTGAGGATAATAACTGAATCTGATTTGGTCACATTTTCGAACCCCTGACACATATGTGGGGGTAAAGACATATTTAATAAATAAATGTGTGCCTAAGGGTTGACATAAATGACAAGTGGGAATGGGGATGGATGGAACGTCCCTAACTGTCTCCCAGAGAGAATGAAGGGTTGGGATTCAGTGTGGGATGTGCTATAGGTGAGGTGACATGAGCTGTCTAAGGATTCAGGGCCTCTCTGGTGAGTGAAGGCAGAACCAGGCTTGCTGGGCCACCAACCCAGGGTGGATGCCAGAGATGGCACAGGAAGCTCTGGCATCCCCATAGCCCAGTGTGGCTGACACCAGCCTCAGCTTTGGAGTCAGACAGACCCATGTGAGTTCTGGATACTGGGGAATCAACTGATTGGGAAGCTTCATGAACCCTGAACAGAAGGGCAGGGATAGGAAAAGGGCAACACCTTAGAAGCTTTCAAAACTAGAATGGTAAATAACTAATGGGTACTAGGCTTAATACCTAGATGATGAAATAACCTGCACACGCACAAAAAAACCTCATGACACGTGTTTACCTGTTTAACAAACCTGCACATATACCCCTGAACTTAAAAGTTTTTAAAAAAAAAAAAACTAGAGTGATTTAGAGCAGATGCTTTGGAATCAGAACTCAGCTCTGACACTCGGTACCTGCATGACTTCAAGCAAGTTGTTTAATCCTTTTGAGCCCCCAATTCCTCATCTGAAAGTAAAAATATTAAGGACAGCATCATAGGGCAGGTTGTTCAGAAGAGCTAAATTTCATGTACGTGAGAGACACTAGCCCTCTGCCAGGCACAAAGGAGTCAATAAATGACAGCAGCAGTTATCACAGTTACTCATCCTGGATTTCCCCCTGGTCCCGGGCTGCAGATGTAAGATGTTCGAGACCCCAACCCTCTTGCCAGATATAGGAGGTCTCATTATTCATTTATTTAATCAATATTTGTCAATCACATATTTTATGTCAGGTACTGT